GGGAGGGAAGGGGACAAGAGCAGGGAGATGACAGAAGAAAGGGCAGATTGGGGGAAGGGGTAATCAGAAGCAAACACTTCTAAGGAGGGACAGGGTCAAAAGAGAGAATAGAATAAATGGGGGGCAGGATATGATTAAGGGAAATTTACTTAGTTTTTTCACATGACTGCTATGGAAGTGTTTTGCATGACTACACATGTATAACCTGTATCAAGTCGCTTGCTTTCTCAACGAGAGTGGGTGGGGAGGGAGGGAGGGAGGGAGAAAATTTAGAACCCAAAGTCTTAAAAACAAATGTTAAAAAAACTTTTTCACATGCAACTAGAAAATAAGATATACAGGCAATGGGGTATAGAAATCTATTCTGCCCTACAGGAAAATAGAAGAGGAAGGGGATAAGAGAAGGGAGGGAGAGATAGAAAGGAGGGCAGATTAGGGGAAAGGGTATTCAGAATGCATGCCGTCCTGGGGTGGGGGGAGGGACAAAATGGCGAGAAAATTTGGAACTCAAAATCTTGTGGAAGTCAATGTTGAAAACTAAAAATAAATTTTTTTTTAAAAAGCTAGAGAGAGAAATGGAAAACCACTCGCTATCTCTGTCAAGCAAACCCTAGATGGGATCATAGAGTCAGACATGAACTAAGAACAACTCAACAACAACTGAAAACCTTCCATAGACAATCTTTAGACTCTCTCCAATTTATTTAGTCTGGATCTTGTTTGTAAATAATGAGAGATAGAAGGAAAATGTTTGTTTCCATAAAATTGAAACAACCCCTAGAAAAAGTTAACAGCCAGTCTCATCTTGTTTTGCTGGTAGAAGTCAGCAAGTAGGACAAAGGTTAAACTTTACATAGAGTTCACAGGCTCATGAATACTAACTCCTCCACCTCTGGGCGGGGTTAAGACGACATATTCTGAATATGCACATACGTAAAAGGAGAGAGACATGTCCAGAGCAGATGTGTAATAGGCGTGCCAGAAAGTGGTACACTTTGGAATGCCCTAGGGACTCTGCGGCACTGATTAGAAATAGTGAACCCTTACTTGGGGGGGGGGGCGGACACCTAGGTCAAAATTAGTTATTTCTCGTAACTGGTGCATGGGGTTTGCTAGTCAGATTGTGACCTCCTAAAAGGGCAGGGATCCGCTTTTGCTCTTTTGTTATCGGCAGAGCTTAGCACTTATTAAGTAACTGACAGATGAAGAAACCAAGCCCCAGGAGGGGCCTTACAATTTCTAACTTAAGCCTTAAGAAAGCTTTCTAACGGCCTTGTACGTCCCCTGATTCCACAGACAGTAATCTTTCAACTATTATCCCAGATCAGATGCAGGCAGTTCTGCTGTCAGAGATATAACGGAAACGGTCATTCCCATAAATTTAGAGCAAACAGCTAGAGTACGCGAGTAGCAACATCAGGCGGTGACGTCGAGCCCTGTGCATGCGCACAAGAGGGGTATTTGCACCTCAGTGCGCATGCGCGAGTGGTGACGGTTGGCCGCAACCATTCCGACGTCACCGGAAACACAAATTTCCAAAGCAAAGAAGTTGCTGGACTGCCTCACCCCCACTCCAACTCCCACCCCTACTCCATGGGAGCTGTGATACAGCCAAATGACTCTGGAGATGGAAAGCAACTGAGCAATATGATACTATCCCTCCTACTTGTTAATTTTCTTAATAACTTGGAATAGGTTTTATTGCCAAGTTTGAAGGCCCGACCCAACTTAGCTCCAAGAAGGCTGAGCCTTTGGCATTTTCCTAATGGAATGGCAACCAGCAATAATTCGATTCTCCAGGAGGTGGCAGCAGAGCCTCACAGACCAATCACCAAAGGCATTACCACACTTTAAAGTTAAGACTTTTCTCCATCCACCAGCTCCCGTGCAACACTAGCTGACCCGAGGACCGATGCATGAGCTTGCAACAAAATCTAACCCCACACCTTGGTTCCCCGCGCCCACACACACTCTTTCCAGTGCCTTGGAAATGCAGGCCCCAGGAAGTTCGGGGTTACAGTGTTGTGTGCTACAAAAGATTTCTGCAGAAGAAAGAGGAATAGAGGGGGAAAGTGGAACTTGTGGCTGGGCTTGAATAAAAATATTTAGAATGCCTTATTCATAGTTATATGCTAACAAAACTGAGAACAAAAAGAAATGAGGAATAGTTTAAAAGACATTTAATATACAGATTTTCAGAAGATTAGATAGAGGGCTAAATAACCCAACTTCACCAAAAAAAATATTTTTAAAGGAGTTGCAGGGGATAGAACTTCTTAGTCCTAATAGATTCACAGTAGCATTTAAACATCTAAAGAAAAATTAGTATCCATACTTCACAAATTATTCGCAAAGATTCACAAAGAAAACATTCTAGCAGAATCTTTTTATAAGATATAGTCCTAATACCTAAAATAAGGAAAGATAAAATACAGAACAAAAACCATACATCACTATCATTAATGAAAATCCTGTCAAGAATTAATGGCTACAGAGAAAACAGATGCAAGAATGACTACAGATAACTAAGAATGCCAGGACGGCTCAACATTAGGAAAACAAGGTAATCTTATCTTAACAGGTCCAGAAAGAGCCTTTGACAAAGTACAGCACTTTTTGAGAAGTGCTAAAACTCTGCAAAGTATAGACATAGAGGGACCTTTTTTAATCATAAAAGGTATCGATCTAAAACCACAAGCAAGCACCATATGCATCACCTACTATCACAGTGCCAGGCACCATGATAAGTGCTTGACAAATATTATCTCATTTGAGCTTTACAGCAACCCTGGGAGGTAGGTGCTATTGTTATCCCCATTTTACAGTTGAAGTCACACAGCCAGTAAGTGTCTGAGGCCAGATGTGAACTCCTATTCATGACTCAGTGCTCTGTTTATTATACCACCCACCTGCCCCATTACCTTATCTGATACTCACTACAGCTCTGTGAAGTAGGTGCTATTATTATCATCACCATTTTACAGCTGAGGAAACTGAGATAAAGGTTAAGTAACTTGCCCAAGGACACATAGCTAGCAGGTGTCCAAGGCTCGATTTGAACTCAGGTCTTTCAGACTCTAAGCCCAGCACTTTATCTGCTGTGCCACAGATCTGCACAGAAAGAAATTGAGGGCATAGAGATAGGTAAAGAGGAGATAAAACTGTAGCTGATGATGGGATGGTATACTTGGAAAATCCTAGGGCATCAGCAAAGATACTAATAAGTACAATAGCTTCAGCAAAGTTGCAAGATACAAAATAAACCCTAAAAAATCAATAGCATTTCTTTATAATAATATTATAACTTAAAGGACAAAAATAGAAAGGGAAATCCCATTCCAAATAACTATAAAACGCATAAAATATCTGGAGATTAGCCTACCAATGCACACGAAGGATGTGTGTAGTTTTAATTATCAAGTGCTCCTTAAAAAAAAATGAGTAGGATATGTATTCATAACCAAACAAGAGATAGAAACAATTAAAAAAGACAAAACAGATAACTTTGATTACATGAAACTAAAAGGCTTCTTTCTGCACAAACAAAATTAATGCACCTAGGATAAGAAAGGAAGTGGTCAAATGGGGAAAAAAATCTTTCTATAAAATTTCTCTGATAAGGGTTTAGAATCCACGATATATAAACAATTACATACATATATACATATAGACACAGATGCATGTGTGTGTACGTGCGTGTATCTCTCAAACAGCCATTCCCCAACAAATAAATATGGGGCAGCTAGGTGGCATGGTGGATAGAGTGCTAGGCCTGGAGTCAGGAAGACTCATCTTTGTGAGTTCAAGTCTAGCTTCAGACTCTTACTAGCTGTGTGAACCTAGGCAAGTCACTCAACCCTATTTGCTTCTGTTCCTCATCTGTAAAATAAGCTGCAGAAGGAAATAACAAACCACTCCAGTATCTTTGCCAAGAAAACCCCAAATGGAGTCACAAAGAGTCAGACATGACTGAAACAGCTGAACAACAACAACAGATAAATAGTCATAGTCAAAGAATATGAACAAAAAATTCTCAGAAGAATTACAAAGTGTTCACAACCATATGAGAGAATGTTTCAAATCACTAAGACAAGTCAAAATAATCCTGAAGTTTCACCTCTCAACTTCAAAATTGGCGAAGATAACAGAAAATGATAATAGTCAAGGAGAGGCAGTAGAATGGCAGGCACACTAATAAATTGTTAGTGAGGTTGTGAAATGGTACAACCATTTTGGAAATCAATATGGAATAATGCAAATAAAGGGACTAAAATGTTCATATCCTTTGAACCAGAGACTCCATTACTAGGCTTATGCCCCAAGGCATAATATTGTCATGACTTCATCAATAAGAAGAAAGTCCACATATACACCAAAATATTTACAGCAGCACTTTTTATAATAACAAAGAACTCTTGTGTTCTGCTGTGTACAGGGAAATGTTCTTTTTTTCTCTCATTTTGTATTTAAGTTTAAAATGAATAAAAAACTATAATAGCAAAGAATTTTAAACAAAGCAAATGCCTATCGAATGGGGGAATAGCTAAACAAATTGTTGTATATGATTGTAATGGAATGTTATTATGCTGTCAAAAGGATATATGTGATACGGAAAAGCACAAAAAGATCTACATGAACTAATGCAGAGTGAAGTAAGGAGAGCCCAGAAAATAATATATATGATAATTACAACAATGTAAAAGGAAAGAATAACCAAGCACCAAAAAATCAAAAGTAAACGTAACACGATTACAAAGCTCAAATATGACTTGAATGAACAGACCAAGAGGACACCCCCAATCAACCCCGTTGTGAGGGTGGAAGGTCCACAGGTGTTATACATAATACATGTTTTTGGACTTTTTCAATATTTCAGTCAGTTTGCTGATTTTTTTTATCCTTAAAAAGTACTATTTACTATATGAGGTGTCTCTCCCTTAGGAGGGAGAGGGATACTAGGAATAATTATGACGATATAAAAAAATCAGTCAAATCATATATTTTTATGAAGAAAAGTTAATGGAATCTTTTCTATGAAGAGGATGTTTGAACCATTTCTTCAATGATCAATTGAGGTTCCATTTTAACTGAAGGCTCACATAAATCATGATATTTATAGCATTTCATCTGTCTAAGAATTAACCAATGCCTAGGGACATTCAAACTCACCCCAAAGCTTTCTTTCACAAATTATACATGTAACATTTCCCTTTGACTTGCAATCTCTTATGTATGAAATGGAACAACTTGCAACAGAAGACTTATACAGTGACATTCATAGTAATTCTCCATGATGTAATTTTTGTTAAGCTTTTAGTGTTCTATATGACAAAAGGATTTCCCACACTCATTTTGCTCACAAAATATATACAAGATACTGGCATACAACTGAAGGCTTTCCCACAGTGCTGGAGAAATCTATCATAATAGCTTGTGGACTTTATTCAATCACCAATTCTTGTATTTAGAGTGTTCCTTTACTTTTTGATACAATATTGGGTGAAACATTTGTGGGAGGGGTTTCTTTTGAATTGGTTTAATATTATTTATAATGTTACTTAGAGTATCTCATCAATGTGAATTCCTTGGTGACAAGTGAGGGCTCTCTTACCTATGAAAGCTATACCATACTCATGAATCATATAGCTTAACATCAGTGAGGACTCTATTGTTGAATGGCAAAGCTATAATTTATAAGTTCTTTCATAATCACTGCATTTATAATATTTCTCCCTAGTATGAGTTCTCTATCAAGGAAAGTCTGAGACCCTCCTAAAAGCTATGCCACAAATCACATTTACATGGTTTCTGTTATGACTTATATAGAATAGAAAGTATATCTTACAAATGAAGGCTTTCCTAAACTAACATTTATTTCTCCCCTGTTGCTCAACAAGTGTTTTATTCTTTTAAAATTTTCCCCACCCTCTTCCAACTCCTTACTTTTCTTCCTTGTGAATTACATGATGATCAACAAGGGTTATGTTCCTTGCAAAAAAAAAAATTCCCACACTATTTTCATTCACAGCATTTGTAATGTGACTGGTGATCAATCAGTTTTCTTGCAGTAAAAACTATCCCACACCCATAAAACTTATCACTATCAATTCCCTGAAGTTGAATGCTAGATCTACGATAAAAAGTTCCTTACTGCTTAATTTTATCATATTCCTTCTCAGTATGGGTTAACCGATGTCGAGAAAAGCTTGAATTCCACACAAAAGCTTCCCCACACACCTGACATGTGTATGGTTTTATCCTGCTATGAGTTCTCTGATGTACTAAAACGTAAGACTTACGAACAAAAGCTTTCCCACATTGATCACATTTGTAGGGTTTCTCACCAGTGTGAATTCTCTCATGTTCAATGAGGTTTCTATTTCGTGTAAAAGTTTTCCCACACACTTTACACTCATGTTTTTCCTTCTCTCCAGAGTGACTTTTCTGGTGAACTACAAGGGTTCTATTTCTTGTAAAAGTTTCCCCACAATCTTTACATTCATGTACCTTTTCCCCAGTGTGAATTCTCTGGTGAGAAGTGAGGCTTCTGTTCATTCTGAATGATTTGCCACACTCTTTACATTCAAACAGTTTTTCCTTTGTGTGAACTCTCTGGTGTTGAAGGAGGGATCTGCTTCTTGAAAATGTTTTCTCACACTCATTACATCTATAGGGTCTCTCGCCAGTATGAATTCTCTGATGATCAACAAGGTTTCCTTTTCTTGTAAAAGTTTTACCACACTGGTTACATTCATGGTGATTTGGCCTAGCTCGGATATTTATGTGTGGACTAAAGACTGACATGTGACCTACCATTTCCCCATACCCACTACGTGCATACACATTTTTATCAGGGTGTATCATCTGATGGATAAGGGGGTGGAAAATTCCACCAAGGCCATCCCCACCACAATGGGTTTGTTCATTCTCTGATAAAAATTTTTGTTCAGTTATCTGATTTTGACTAAGTCCTAGCATGAGACTAGAAGCTTTCCCAACCTTATCACATTTATCAACTCTCTCTTCATTCTGTTTGAACTGTTCATCATATTGATAGACTTCCTCTTGTTTAGGAATGCTTTGATAAATACTAAGGTTTGAGCTAACATGTTCCCCCAAATTCTCATCTCTCTCTTCTGTAGTAGTTTTTGTTTCCTTGACTACCATGTACTCAGAATCTCCTTCCTCTACCTTCACTCTTGCCAGTGTGGGGTTTCCCAACTGCCTCTCCCACCCAGCCTTCTGTTTATAAGATGCTCTAACCTCAGGTTGATCAGAAACATTGCTCTGGTCATTTCCCAATGATGCTGCTGGTGATTCTTCAGAAATTTCTTGCTTTATGGTAGTCACCTTCTCTTTCTCAAATTTGACTTCACCACCTGAAACAAAAAGAAATTCAAGAAAAGACATTGGTTCTCTTTGTTAAGGAATGGAAAAATATCAAGTAATATTCAAATATCCTACTATAACAGGAGTGCATGGCTTTCATTAAAAAAAAAAAAAGAGCTTTAAGAGGTAAAAAAGTAAAAAGTACCATGGACAGAACACTGGAAAGAGAATCATTCAATAACAATTTCTGGAAAAACGGGATACTAGTTTAGGAAAAGCTAGGGTTCATTCACATGTCCTACAATAAATCACAGTTAAGTTCCAAATGGTTTCATAAATAGAGAGATAAAGAGATGTGCTATAGGTATATGTGTATATATAAGTATATATAATTTAGAAGAAAAGGGAATGATACATTTATCACAATTGTGGAATATGGAAAATTGATATAGATTTGAATAGAAGAAATCATAAGAAACAAAATAGTTGAACTTTATCTTTTTTAAAATAATTTTGCACAATAAAAAGTCATGCATCAAAAATAAAAAGTAGAGAAATTTTGCAGCAAACAACTGTGATAAAAATCTATACTGACACAAATTTAAAAGAGTAAATTGCATTATTTAAAAAGTATTGAACAGATGTTATCAAAAGAAGAAACACAAATTGTTGATACACACCTGGCTTCCTTCAAGTCCGAGCTAAAAACCCATCTCCTATAGGAAGCCTTTCCCAACCCCTCCTAATTCTAGTGCCTTCCCCTTGTTAATGATTTCCTATTTATCCTGTATATAGCATGTTTGTATATACTTGTTTCTTCCCTCTCCAATTCAATTATGAGCTCCTTAAGAGCAAAGACTATCTTTTGCCTCTTTTTGCATTCCCAGTGCTTAGCACGATGCCTGGCACATCATAGGCACTTAATAAATGTTTATTGATTGAGGATACTCTGTATCCCATTCACAAATTTCCATGTCATTCAAATCTAATTTTTCTCCATTATGTTAATTCTGTATGTTCCTTTATCTTTCTGTTGGATTTATCTAATGCTGAAAAAGGAATATTAAAATCTGCTACTATTATTATGTTCTTATTAATGTCTATAATTCAACCAATTTTTAAGAATCCACATGCTATGCCATTTGGTATATGTGCACATATACAGAATATTTTTTCATTGCTTTTTGTGTGTAATATTACTTGTTTCTCTTTATCAAATTTTACTGCTGTCAAACCGGACTTTGTGATTATAATTCCTGCTTTTTTTAAGTTTCTTGAAACAGTTTATTCCACTCGACATTTTCATTCTAAATGTATCTATATGCTATAAAAATGTTTATTATATGTAATAAATGTGTGAAGTTTAGGGTTTATATTTATCTTTCTTTTCATTTGGAGTGTTTAATCCATTCCTATTTCACTATGATTTGTACACCTGCATTTTCTTCCATCTAACTCTCATATAGTGTCCCTCTTTTTTTTAAGTTTGATTAAGTTTCTGTGGTTTATTTTGATTCTTGCCATTGATTTGATCCTGGTCTCCTCTTACTCACTCTTCCTCAACATCCTCTGACACCCTGACCTAGCTGAAGTTCCTGGCATTTACTTTTATTATTCTTCTTTCACTGTCTCTTTTTAATACATTCAGATTAGCATGTAAGTACCTAATCCTCCCTGCTCTACCTCCCCTCCGACCTCATCAATTCTATTAATTTCGAAGACATAGATCTGTAACGTCCTCTTCCAAGAAATGTTGTTTGTTGCAATAAAGGATCTCCATTTTGCCTGCTTATCCTACTCTTTCCTTCTGTTCTTAACCATCCTGTTATCTCCCTCTTTCTCCCCATAGCACTGTCATTTGCAAAGAAAAAAAATCTTACATGTCTAGCTTTTTATAGGCCTATGAAAATATTACTTTCATTTCTTAATCTCTTACTGCTCTTAACCATTCACCTCTAGCTCCTTTTGAAGAAATTATTCTCTTTTACTAAATATTCAGTTTTTTGTTGTTGATGATTAATCTCACAACTTATTTGGAGGTACAATCTAATATGCTTTGCTTTTATAATATTTTATTATCATTTTTTTCTTAGTGCCTCATAAATAATTAATAGACTATGGTATTCTGGATGACTTTCCTTGGAATATGAAAAGATTTTTTCTTGGCTGCCCACAATATCACACTGTTTAATGTAACTCTAAAAGCTACTTATGACATTTCTTGGTGAATTAAACTTGGAGTTTCTTTCTTTTGGTGTTTTATGAACTCTCTTGATCTGTACTATACATTTGCAGTGTTTCTGTGAAATTTCCCCATATCTTTTCCTATGGTATGCTATTCAGGGGAATGTTTTAATTTTTTTTCAAAAATACATTTTTATTGTGTGTATTGTTTTCTTGGCTCTTATTACTTCATTTTTCCTCAGCTGCTACAACTCTTCTTTAATTTCTCTAAATTCTTCACATATATAATTTTATGGCTAATACATATCACACATGTAATCTCTTATTACATATTACATAATTATTTGTTATTACATATCACATATGTAATTTCTTATGGCTCAGTAAAATTCGATTACATTCCTGTATCACAGTTTGATCATTTGCAAATCAACCTCATTTGATTTTTAAAAGAATCTATTTTGGAAATGTCCCCTGTCATTTGTTCTAAATTCTCTACTCTTTTCTTAGATTTTCTTTCTTAAGAGAGTTCTAATTTCATAGGATCATAAATTTAGAGTCAGAAGGGACCTTAGAGGTCACTCAGTTCAACCTTCTCATTTTATCAATAAGGAAAGTAAGGCCCAGGAAGACGAAATAACTTGCCCAGCATCACACAACTAGAAATGGGATTCAAACCCAGGTCTTATTCTTTTTAAGTTTACTTTTTTTTTTCTATTAACAAAGATCTATTTGCTCTCCCTCCCACCTCCTCTCCCCACTTGGGGGGAAAAATAAAAAATAATAATCTTGTAATAAACATGAAAAGTTATACAAAATAAATTCTCATACTAGTCATGTCCAAAAAATACATGCCTCATTCTGCACCCTACATCTATTACCTCTCTGTCAAGAAGTAGGTAGCATGATTCATCACCGGTCCTTCTTAGGTCTTTCCAAGTTGTTTATCTTTACAATGTTATTGTTACTGTATAAAGTGTTCTTCTGATTCTTCTCATCTCCCTCTGCATCAGTTCATACAAATCTTCCTAGGTTTCTCTGAAACCATCCCCTTCTTCATTTTATAGCACAATAGTATTCCATCACATTTATATACTGTAATTTGTTCAGCCATTCCCAATGGATGAGTACTCCCTTAGTTTCCAGCTAGTTCTTTTCTACCACAAAAAGAGTTACTATAAATATTTTAATACATATGGGCCCTTTTCCTCTTTCTTTGATCTCTTTGGGGTACAGACCTAATGATGGTATTGCTGGGTCAAAGGATATGTACAGTTTAGTAAATTTTAGGGCATAGTTCCAAACTGCTTTCCAGAATGATCAGATCAATTTACAACTTTATCAACAGTGAATTAATGTGCCTCAAACTATGCCTTTAAATAATACAATCTAGGGGCAGCTGGATGGTACAGTGGATAGAGCTCCGGCCTTGAAGTCAAGAGGACCTGAGTTCAAATCTGGCCTCAGATACTTGACACTTACTAGCTGTGTGACCCTGGGCAAGTCACATAACCCCAACTGCCTCACCAGAAAGCAAAATAAATAAATAATACAATCTAGTATAATAATGTCCTATCCTCTTGTCTAATCTGTCTTCTCTAGATTTTGGTGCTACTTCTCCCTCTTGGTTTTCCTCCTACATCTCTGACTGTTCTTCTCAACATCCTTTCCCAAATCACTATTCATGGCATGTGCACAAAACGTGGGTATACCCCAAGCCTCTGTCCTAGGCCTTCTTTTTTCTCACTATACTCTTTTCACATGGTGATCTCATCAACTCCCAGGAGTTCAGCTATCATCTAAATTCAGATAATTTTCAAATCTACATATTTAGACCTAGTGTCTCTCGAGTTCTAGTCCCATATCACAAATAGCCTATTACAACTTAGAACTAGATATTTCATTTGTATCTCAAATTAAACATGTCTAAAACTCCACCCCTCTTCTGAACTTCCTTGTAACTGTTAAGAGAACACTAGCCTTCCATTCACCCAGGTTCATCCTCAGTGATTCACTCTGCATAACTAATGAGTTGCCAAATACTTAATCTTTAAATTCCCACACTATCTCTCATACATCTCTTCCTCTGCATTTATGTAGCTGCCACCCTCATTCACACCTTCATCACCCCTCACCAGGACTATTACAATAGCCTCTAATTTGGCCTCCCCACTCCAATACATTCTCCTAAAGAGTGGGTCTGACCATATCAACCCCCTAGTCGATAAACTCCAGAAGCTCCCTGTCACTTCTAGGATAAAATATAAACTTCTTTGGCATTTATAGCGCTTCACAACCTGGTCCCTTCCCATCAGTCCTCACATTACTGCCCTTCACACATTCTGGTCCAGTCAGACTGGCCTCCTTGCTACTCCATATCTAGTATCCATGCCTTTGCATTTGTGGAATGCTTTCTATCCATATTTCTGCCTTTGGGAATCTCTGGTTTCCTTCAAGAATCAGCTAAGCACTCCCTCCAACAAGAGTCCTTTCTTGGTGACCTTCATTGCCTTTCTCCCCCTCAGGCACCACTGCCTTCCCATCTAAAAAATACCTTTTGTCTGTTTTCTACATGTCTAGCATTTACCTATATGCATACATGTTGTCTTACCCCTTTTACTATAAACTCCTTGAAGGAAAGGACTGATAGAATTCTGTCTTTTATCTCCAGCATTGAGCACAGTGCCCGATATAGTAAGCAATTAATGAGTGCTTACTGATTGATCATTTGATGTGAAACAAGGATTACCAAAGGTTTGCAAATAACGATGAAGGGCATGCTAAGCATAATGATAACTTCATTTCTTTAGTATTTTAAGGTCTACAAAGTGCTTTCTATACAACAGTCCTGTGAGGCAGATGATATAAGGATTATTAGCTCTTTTTCTTTAAGGAAACGAAGGATCAGAGAGTAGAGGTGACTTGCCCACAGTCACATATCTAAAAAGTGGCAGAGCCAGTACTTGAACTCAGGGCTTCTAGAATATGGAAGGCAAGGAGACCCACTACTCATCCAAAAAATAAGAGAACATGAGAATGTTCCCAGTTACTGTACAAATATTTAATAAAGTACAGTGTGGGGTTCGAAGTCAAAAAGGAGGCTAAGTTTAATCTTTTGTTGACACTGTGCTAGGGTGCCATGCTTACTTGGGTGACAGGACTCAACTGCCACAAGAGTAGAAACCTTATGGTTTAACTTCCTTCTTGATTTTGTTTACTCAGTTATTTCTCAAGTATCAATTCTCAGAATTTTTAGTCTATGGATGATTTTGTCAAAATGAAAAATAATAGTTCCCATTTCTATTATGCTTTGTAAACCTTATAATACTTTTTCTACTGCAACCATGAGACACAGTTGATGAAAGTACTATGATTCCCATTTTAGAACCAAGGCTCAATATTTGCCTAAAGAAACAGCTAGTAATTGTCAGAGCTGGGATGTGAACCCATGTGTCAGCTCCATGCCGTATTCTCTTTCTAATATGCTCAATGCCTTAAAGAAAAGGGGCAAACTTGAAGAGTTCTCCTCACTCACCTGCACAAACAAACCATTGACCTATGTCCTGAGCTTCCTGTAGATTCCCAGATACTTGCTCCAGCTTAGAAATCACAAGAGGTTTAGGAAATAGATATGCTGTTCAGGAGAAGAAAAAAGGGGTAGGTTAGAGCATGGCATCACACTGCTTTATCCCACAGCCTGATCTCATCCCTATTCTTCAGGGGAAAAGGACAAGAAAGAAGTGGAATGTTCAGGGAGACCCTGGAAAGAAGGGCCAGAGGAAGGTGAAGGGACCTAGGGAAAGGGATTCAAGGCTTTTTTTTTTAACCAAAGAACAGGAAGTAAAAAATCTAGGCTAGATACACAGTTATACTTTTCTTCTCTTTTTAAGAGGATGGAAAAGTAGAGAGATCTAGACAGTGAGCAGCTGGGTAATTTTTAGCTCACAGTCTAAGATAAGTTTAGACTTCTCACAAAAAGACCAAGAAGGATTGCAAAGGGAGTAGGGGTGACTGGTGAGGATTCTGAGTCAGGCAGACAGTTAGAATATCGCATACTTCCAGCTCCACAGAGTAAAGTCCACAGGAAGGATCACTAGAAAACAGGACACGAGGATTCTCTGCCTCACTGCAAAGAGATCATAAGGCCACTCCTGCCTGGCAAGGCATCCCCTAAGGATGGGGGATTAGAACCACGTGACTCCCAAATACTGACAAGAAATAAACAGAGTACCACTCGTTAACAATTTCTTCATCTTTAGGCAGGAGAGAAGGTAAAGCCTTACCCAAAGACGCTATGTTCCTATAATTCTCCAGCATCACGTCCCTGTACAGGACCCTCTGCGCAGGGTTCAGATCTGCCCATTCTTCCTTCCGGAAGTATACAGCCACATCTTCAAACATCACTGTCTCCTGAAACAACATGTTCCTGATGTCCCAAGGACTGTCCCACCACTCAGTCTCTATGAGGCAGGAGTGACATCTATTATTCTGAGTGCATTCAAAAAGCAACGAAAAGGAAAGAAAAGCCCAAGAGCTCAGGCCAAGGAAGGATACTTGTGTGTGGGCAAATAACTCCTAAGATTAGAGGAGCCACAGCTACAAAATGCCAGGAAGAACAAAGAGAAGTGTCGCTTACCTGAGGCCTGGTTTTCAGTGATGGAGCCACGACGGCCTGATCTCTTGTATGGGCAGGAACCTGAGGAGCATGAAAAACTGAAGAGAAAAGAAAGGCATAAATGAGACCAAATCTGCAGCTTCCTCTCCACACCCTCCCCCCACCCCAGGTAAGACACAGAAGATGCAGAGATCCAAAAAGAAATCTATCGCAGGTCCTGACTACTGCAAACCAGAAATTAGGTCTCTTGTGTGTACGACAGTATTCCCTATAGCCTTGGGGTAGGACAGTGAGTGACTGTGGGGACAAACCCTGGCACTAGAGAACACCCACTGATATTGGAAATAGCAGATTCAAGGCTCAAACCCAAACTCAAATTTTAAAAACTACTCTGAATCCAAACAAGTTCGCAGGATTTAGAGCTAGGGGAGACCTGAGAGATCAGTTTGTCCAAAATCGTTTTGAACAGAGACCCAAAAAGCTTAAGGGCCTTTCCTGAGGTCACACAGGTAGTAAGTGACGGTGCCAGGATTAGAACCCAGGTCCTCTGATACAAATCCAGGGTCCTTTCCACCACAACTCTAATGTGTTTCAGCATACTATACAAAATAACTTATACACAGGGAGCTTCAAAGGGTGTTGTGAAAAGATACAGAGAGGGTTGCCTTTGAACCTCCTCTGGATGAAGACCATCCTCAGGGAATCCAAGCTGGAAGGAGTTCACAAGAACAATGAAGCAGGCCTGCAATTGGAAGAGGCAATGAGAAGGGAGGAGGCTCCAAAATAAAGGTGGACCAGTAGACCAGTGTTAGAATAAGACAATGGGCCAGGGGCAGTACCATTCAGAGCATCCTTGACGTGGAACATCTTTGCATCATCAGCAGAGTCCAAGAGGATCCCAGGGGAAGGGCTGCCACAGAGAGGTGGAACAGAAAGAGCTGCCAGAGACGCCGTCCCCATCCATGGCACATCCCGTCCTTGGGCATGGCCTGAGACCTGGAGACAAAGAGACAAAGTCGAGCCTGTGAGGTATTTGTGGGAACAGAAACCAGAATCTCGGAGGAGGAACTTTCCTGCCTGTCTAACTGTTCCTGAATCTCCCTTAGTGGCTCATCACACATTTCATGTCCCTCAACTGTGGATGTTCCCCAAGGATATGTCCTAGGCTGTCTTCTCTCTACATTCTCTTGAGTTAAGAATGGGACAAAGAAAGCCATGACTTCAGACAAGAGAGCTCACCGTGAGTTGCCAGAGTCAGAGCAGGCAACCCAGAAGTAGAACTGGGGCCAGGATGGGCAGGACTTCATGCCAGCTCCTTCTCTCTCCCTAATTTATCCTGCTTCTAGCTTGTTTGTAACATAGCTGTTTTCACGTCTTCCCCTTTAGATTGTGATCTCCTCTTAGCACAGGGCTTGTCACTGAGTGCTTAATAAGACTTAATAAGGCTAACTCAGAAAAATGGAGAGAAGGAGAGAATACAATCCAGGTGAGGGGGACGACTAGGACAGGATCACAGGGAAGAGGACACAAAAAAAAGGCAACAGTGAGGAAGACTATAACATTGGCTCCAATTTCTATCACACTTTAAGCTGTACAAAGTGCTTTCTTCACAATGATCTTGTGAAAGTAGATTTTAATTAATGGTGAAAGGAACCTTAAAGATCATCTAGTCCAATCCCCTCATTTTACAGATAAGGAAATTGAGGCAATATGAAAGACCACTAGATTTGGAATCGGCAAACCTAGATGACCTCTCCTATAAGGCTCACAAAGGTTAAATGACTAGGTTAAGGTTATACAGATAATGTATTATCCCCATTTTAAAGATGAGAAAACTGAATCTCTGGAAAGGGAAACAGGTTGTCTGAGGTCACATAGAGAGTGCAATGTCCATGCTTGGATGTGGATTCCAGTAGCCCAATGTGAGGTCCAGCTAGCATTCCATTATATCACTCTGCCTCTTCAGGAGATCAGTCTGTCTATAGCAGAAATATACATAAGGCTAAACTGGGAAATAAGACTGAAAGAGGTGGTCAGAAGCCAAGCTAAGGAGTGTGCAGTAATAACTGCATGCAAGGAGAATGGGAAATAGAAGAGATTAAAGACAGGAATATGTGAAGAGAGCAGTCACAGTATACCAGCTGCAAATAAGGGCTTAAACTAGGGTGGTAGCAATGGGGATAGAAAGGATGAGTTCAAACCTAAAAAGCAGCACTGAAAAAAACTTAATGACTAAGTGATTCTGAAAAAAGGGAAGTAATTATGGTGTTGGGAAAAGAACCCTTTCTTTGGATTCAGAATAATAATAATAATAACAATAATAATAATAATAATAATAATAATAATAATAATAATAATAATAATAATAATAACTCCAAGCCCAGTGCTCTAACCACAGTGCCATCTACCTCAGAAGACTTTAATTTGAATCCCCAACTCTCCCACTTAGTAGATGTATGACTTTGGGCAAGTCACTTCAGTTCTGAGCCTCAGTTTTCTCATTTATAAAATGGGTACCTGCATTACCTACCTCATAGGATTGTTATAAGAATAAAGAGAATGGGTTATGTATGGTGCTTTATAAATTATAAAATTTTAGATAACTATCACCTGATAGTATCATTACTATGGAAAAATGAAAGATCACACTAAAATTTAGAAATTAATGTACTAAAAGAATGATGCTACCATTATCAGAAATAAATGTAGCAGGTAAAGCTATGAGAGTAGTTGAAATTTTTAAGAGAAACAGAATAAAGACAGAAAGGAGAGCAGAGAACCAAGCACTAAGCCTTGAGAGCTTCATGAAGAACGTAAATCAGCAAAGAAAGCAGAAAAGGAGGCAGGACCATAAATGGTCCTGAAAACTAAAGAGGAAATGTCAAGGAGAAATAGTCAATTGTGTCCAAAAGGAACAGAGACTAAGGAGTATGAGATTTGGGGTGGGGGGGAAGGGGAAGGTCACTGGCTCTGACAATTTTTCAAGTCTTTTTTGACTTTAGGGAGAACAGTTTGACTAGATGTAATGGAAGCAATTTCTGGTCTCCTTTGTATTTGTCTACTGATCCAATTCATAAAGGCAAGATATTCCAATATATGAAATAATGCACAAAAAGCTGGACTGAATGATAACCTCTTTGTTGTACTCCTCTATCATGTTTTAAATTTTGGATATTGGCTCTGAAGAATTAAAAGTTGACATTTATTCAGACCATGGGTCAACTTAAATGGTACCTTTGCTCTTTGTTGCCATTTGCTATATACCTCAACTACTTCAGCTATGAGTCCTCTTGTCCAGATCCCCATTGTAGGGATGGGCTTTATTGTTTTAACTTTTTCAAATTTCTCAAAGAGTGTAGAGATGAACAGTAACTCATAAAACTCTACTGGGTGTGGAGGATCTGCAATGTCAGTGAAGAAAGTGTCCGTAGACATGTAATCAGAGATCTTTCAAAACATTAGAAGGATATTCTACTTGATACAACATATAATAAACATTATAGTTCTTGGGCAAGTTCTATAATTTAAGGGCCCTCCCAGTGCTGCCATTCTCTATTCCAGTAGAATATAAGTTTCTGAAGGCAGAGACTATTTGTCTCTGTATCCCCAGTACAGTACCTTGAACTTAGCAAGTGCTTAAAAAATTCTTGTTGAATTAAATCCTAAAGTCCTTCATTCATTGACATGTCATTTCAACAAATATTTAAAGTGCCAATCATATGTAAGGGCACTGACCTAGGGATACCCAGACAAAAAGGAATTAGTGCTAAAGTATAATACATTCTACTGATGAGCCACAAGAACAAAGATTAATAAATATAAAGTAATTTGAGGAGGAAGAGAACACCCCACTTCTGACATTCAGCATCCTCGGGTCCTTTCAGCACTGTGTTTTATGTTCTGTCACTTGCAGCTTCCGTGATTCTGAGTTTGGACAGAGATCCTGGAAACCACCCATAGGGTGCTCCCTGACCTTTGCCTAGAAGTAAAAGAGTGGGTCACTATGGGAATGGGTACAGAGAAACAATGAGAACACTCAAAGAAAAAGTAGGGAGAGTGGAGAAATTAAGACAGTGATGGAATCCTATTAGATACATGGAAGGAAGGAGAATCCACAGGAGAGAAGGGCCCACAGATTGAAATCTGAGAGTAGAAACTCCCATCTTGGGGCAATGAATCCTGTCTCATGGATTGGAGATGTGAAAAATACTTCATGTGACTCTGTCCCCAAAGTGATCGAGGCAATAATAAGCTGAGATCATCTAACCACAGATAAAAAATTTCTATGGCACATCACATTTTTCAGAGTACTTCAGATACAAGTATTATCCCCATGATCTGCCCAAAATTACACAGCTATTAAATGATGTATAGCCAGGACAAGATAATAGCTCTCCAGACTCTCAAATTCAAATTCAAATGTTCTTTCCACCAACCCACGCTGACCTCATCACACAGGCCACTTATGCTACCTCGGATTGGCAGTGAGCTAGGAAGTAAATCTACCATGATTTATTACTGCACTTTGAGGCAAAAGGAAATGTTCTCATTGCATTCCTATGTCCTAAGGGCTCAGGTCTTGGCAGAACAAATGTCATCAAATGGGTTACCAGGCAGGTATTGTCTCCTACATGCCTCCCCAAGTCTCTCATCCCTTCCCCTTCCTCAGGGCCCCAATTACCATTGTCACCTTTTTTTCTGGTCCATCAAGGTGACTCTCTATATCCTGCACAAGAGCTGCAACCTCTTCTCCACTTTCTGGATGATGTAACTGGACCCAGGTCCGGGTCTCTCCAGGCAGCATGGTCAGGAACTGCTCCATTATCAGATGCTCCAGGATCTCTTCCTTTGTGCACGTGTCTGGCTTCAGCCAACTTTGGCAGAGTTCCCGGAGTCTGAGCAGGGCCTCATGGGGCCCAGAAGTCTCTGCATAGCGCAACTGCCGAAAGAGCCGGCGGGAGAGTTCCTGTTTAGGGCTGGTGTTCTTCAGCAGATGAGATTTTGGTTCCTCATCATCTTCTTCCTTCTTCACTATCAAAAGCCCTTCTGAATCCAAACTTGTTTCAGTCCACTTGTCCTTTTTTTCGGTCAACATCTCCACTGAGTTGACAGACTCCCTCTAGTTAGGATCTACTAAAGTTCCTAAACCTAAAGATTCAGTTTCTCCTCAAGATCAGAGCAGTGAATTATCTACCAATACATCAGGAAACACTGTTAATACAAGAAAATGATCATGTTTGAAAGATTAGTAATGGTAATGAGGATCTAAATAGACATGACACTAAAAGCAAAGTCGCAGGTAGAAAGACAACACTCATCATAATACACACTCCCTTCCATACCCCCCGAGTGAGGGATGGAGAGGAGAGAAGGAATGCCGTGTGTGAGATGAAGACAGTATACATGGAGAGGCTGGAAAGTTGGGGCAAAGTTGTGAAGGGCTTTAAAAACTGAACTGGGTAGTTTGTTTATATTTTATCCTAAATGCAATGAGGAGCCAGTGGTGTTTATTGATTAAGGGAGTGCATGGTCACATCTACATTGAAAGAAAATCACTTTCCCAGCTGTGGTGAAGACAGAGAGGAGTGGAAGAAGAATTAAGCAGGAAAATCAATTATGAAACTGTTAACAATAACCTAGAAAAGAAGTGATAATGGCCTGTGGGAGACAGTCAGATGCTAGAGAGGTTAAGGAGATCAAAAACAGACTACATGGGAATAATGACATAGTTTTGAACTTGGAAATCTAGAAGAATTGGTGGCACTTTTTACAATTCTTCTCAAACTGTATGCCAAGATAAACTCCAAATTGATACATGACTTAAATAAAAAAGGGGATATCATAAGCACATTAGAGCAGCAAGGGAATAAAGCTGCCTTTCAGCTCTATAGATAGAGGAAGAGTTTATGAATAAACAAGTGATAGAAAGGATCACACAAAACAAAATGGACAATGTTGATGACATATAATTTAAAAGGTTTTATACCAAAAAAAATCCAATAGTTAAAGATTAGAAAGGAAACAGTTAACTGGGGGAAAAGTCTTTATAGCAAATTTCTCTGATAAAAGTCTCATTTCCAATATATATAAAGAACCGGTTCAAATTTATAAGAATAAGAGCCATTCTCCAATTAATAAGTAGTCAAAGGATATGAAAAGGCAGTTCTCAAAAGGAAGAAACTCAGGCTATGAACAATAAATCATTGATAATCAGAGAAATACAAATTAAAGAAATCTGAGGTTCCACCTCATATCCATCACTTTGTCAATGCTTACCAAAAACCCATAGTGGCAAATGCTGGAAAATGGGTTTGCTACCACATTATTGGTGGAGATCTGAGTTCGTCCAGAAATTGTGGTTATCAACTTGGAATTATGCCCTAAAAGATGCTTTTTTCCCAGCAATAACCACAAGGTCTATCCCCCAAATCTCAAAGAAAGGGGAAATGATTGTATAGGTATAAAAATATTTATAGCTGTTCTTTTTGTAGTAGCAAAGAACTGGAAACTCAGGTAATGCTCATCAACTGGGGAATGGCTAAACAAATTATGATATATGAAAGTAATGAAGTACTGTTGTGCTATGAGAAATTAATGCTGTCAGAGAAACTTGAGAATATGTATATTAATTGATGCAAAGTGAAGTGACTAGAGCTAGGAGAAAAAATCATAAATAACATCAATGTTGTAAAAAAGATAAATTTGGAAAGACTTGATAAAACTGATCAGTGCAATGATTATCCCTGATTCCAGAGGGCTAATAAAGAATGCTTCCTTCCTGCCTTCTAACAGAAAGGTGATGGACTAACATGCAGAAGGAGAAAACACGCTTTTGGATATGGCCAATATAGAATTTGTTTTGCTTGACTGAACTTACATGATAAAAGGGTTTTGTATTTCTTTTTTCTCCCAGCTGGAGCAGGGATGAGGGGAAAAGGGAAGGAGAAAAAATGCTTGATAACTTTAAAAAACATTTTGGAAAATAAAGATACTAAGGTAATTTAGGCTTGCCATTCAGAGTTATGAATTGCTATGGATCACTAGATTTTCTTAGTCATGTGCCTCCCTGCTAGATCTTTCTAACTGGGTGCTTACTCTTCCACAAGAATACTATGTGAATTGGTGGGAGAGTATGACTCACCTTAACAAGTAGACTGTTATATTTTGATTACTTCTACTTTTCCTTTCAATTAAATGAATGTTATGATTATTCTTGCTCTTGCCTTCTTGTTTAGTAATGTTTCATGTTTAAGAGTCAATGGCGTTATTCCTATATCTGATTGCTTATCATCTCAAGGAGTGGGGAGAAGAGAGAGGGAAGAGAAGAGAGGGAGGGAAGGATAGAATTTGGAACTCAAAACTTTTTTAAAATGTTAAAAAATGGTTTTAACATGCAGTTGGGAAAAAAAATAAAATATATTTTTTTAAAAAGAGTCAGTAGTGTTAATGTGATTGATTTTGTAGGGGCTCAGGAACTACAATTATAGCAGCTCTTTTCATAGTAACCAAAAACTGGAAACTAAGGGGGTGCATACCTACTGGGGAATAGCTAAATTATGTCCTATAAATGTAATGGAATATTATTGTGCTGTAAGAAATGATGAAATGGACAGTTTCAGAGTAAACTGAGAAAACCTCTATGAAATGATGCAGAATAAAGTGAACAGAAACAGGAAAACAATTTAAACAATGACAACATAAAGAAAAACAACTTTGAAAGATTTCACAACTCTGAGCAAAGCAATGATAAGCAGAGTCCAGAGGACTGGAGATAAAACACACCACTCGTCTCTGGCCAGAAAAGTGAGGGGCTTAAAATGCAGAATATGAAACAGACATGGCCAATTTGGGCATTTGTTTGCTAGAGTGTGCATATTTGCTATGAGTTTTGTTTTTTGGGTGTTTAAATTGCTCAATGAAGGGGTAGTGGAAGGAAGAGATATTAAAAGCTTGTAAAAATAATAGGAAATGTCCAATAGGCAATTGGCAATGAGAGCTGATGCTCAGGTAAGACACTAGGGCTAGGTATACAAATTTGAGCACCTGCATAAAGATGATAATTAAAACCATGGAAGCTGATGAGATTACTGAGAGTTTATCCTAAAAGATGTCTCTATCAACAGAAGGTAAGCTCCTTGTAAGTATTTTTGTATGCCTGGCCCAGAGCTTAAAAAATTCTTGATACATATTCAGTTGTGTTTTGGATGTGTTTAAAAAGCCTTTTATTAATAACTTGGAGCTAGAATTCCTGTAATCCTTTTTGATCTCTCAAATTCAACCTTGCACTCAATCAGTCTTTCTCAAATTTTTTGGTCCCAGAAACCCTTTACATCTTAAAAATTACTGAGGCTCCCCCCAAAGAGCTTTTGTTTATGAATAATATTTATCAATATTTGATTAATTAGAAATTTAGACACAAGAAATATATCTTAATCTTACGCTAAAAACAGTTTCAGTCTCAATAAGGAAAAGGAAAAAGGTAGCCTTTTGCTGAATAAAAAAATTTAATTTAAAAATTAAAAAGAAAACAGTTTTGACCTCATGGGGCCCCTGAAAGTGTCTCACTTTGAGATAACACTTTGCAAACCACTAGTCTAGATCTTCCCCAATTAATGAACTTCTTCATGTGACTCTGTTGACCTCTTTGTCTTTCCATCTATCTAAACCCTGGCCCTGGTCCACCATATACAGGAAAAGAAAGGAAGGAAGAAGGGGACAAACAGGGAAGGAGAAGAGAAGAATGGGGATGAGAGGGGAGGAATGAGGAGAACCAGTCAATTAGCATTTATTAAACACTATATTTAGCTACTTGCTAAGTGCTGGGGATAGAAAGGCAAAAGTAGTCTCTGCTCTCAAGGAGCTAACAAAACAACAGGGGTGACAACAAACAAATACATAACAATGTGTGTGTGTGTACATATATATATATATATATATATATATATATATATATATATATGATAAATAGGAAATAGTTAACAGAGGAAAAGCAATAGAATTTGGAAGGGTTGGGAAAGGTTTACTGCAGAAAAAAGGATTTTAATAGGGACCTAAAAGAATCCAGGGAAGTCAGTAGGTGGAATTTGGGAGGGAGAGCATTCCAGGCTTGGAAAAGCCAGAGAAAATTCTAGAAGCAAAGAGATGGACTGACTGTGGAAAGGTAGGAGGGTGCTAGGTTATGGAGGGTGTTGAATGCCAAAAAGAACATTTTGTATTTGCTCCTGGATGCGTCAGGGTTGGGGAGAAGGGGGGGGGGGCAGTGACATGGTCAGACCTACACTAAAGTGTAGGAAAATCACCTTAGTATCTGATTGGAGGGCGGAATGGAGTGGAGTGAAGCAGGCTGACTCACCAGCAGCCTGGCTCACCAGCAAGCTACTGGAATAATCCAGAGTGGTGGCAGTGTCAGAGGAGAGAAGGGGGTGTATACAGAGATGTTGCTAAGGTGAAATCAACAGGCTTTAGCAACAGCTTGGATATGGCTAGTGAGGGATAGTGAGGACTTAAGGATGACAGGCTGACATCTGGGTTGGGAGCCTGGAGGACTGAAAGGATGGCATTACCCATTACAGGAATAGAGATTTTTTTTTCGGGGGAGGAGGGCGGGCTAGGGATTAGGGAGAAAGATGAGTTCCGTTTCGGATGTGCAGAGTTTAAGATGTCTATGAGACACAGGGAGAACTGGAAAAAAAAAAAACAAACACCTTCACCCCTAGCCCCTGGGACCCCTCCCTCATCCCCAGCCCCTGGGATCCTACCCTCATCCCTCAGCTTCTGGGACCCCATTCCAGTCCAGCCCCTGCCCCCGCCCGGCAAAGCTGAGAAGGGAGGAAAAGCAGCCTCTTCCCACCCAGCCCCGGGGCTCTCTGTTCCCCCTGCCCCAGGGCTGAGGTCGCCAGGGAGCCCCCAGCCCTCTGCATTCATCCAGGGTCTCCCCCCACCCCAGACACTATAGGGTGCTTCAGTCAGGCTGCGAGAAGCCAGTGCATGCCCCTCACCTCGCTCCACGATCTTCTGTCTAGTTCTCCAGGTCTCTCTGCTCCTCTCTAGGAAGACTGGAAGGTTCTGGTTCTTGGGCAGCCTCGTTCACGGGGAAAGCAGGGGAGGCGGAGCAGGCTAAGGAGAAGGCGGAGAAAGAGGAGGGGGAGGGGGGGGCGGGTTGGGGAAGGGGACGGTGGGAGAGGGGAGAGTTGAGGCTTAGAGGAAATGAAGGATTCTGGGAGGCAGAAGTGCGCTGGAGAGCATCCTGGGGATGGAGCTCCAAAGTAAGGACAACAAGCCTTGCTTCTGAGAATAAAGCTCATTGGTTGATTGATTGGTCAGTTGGAATTTATATTGCATGAAGAAAGGAAGTAACATGAAATAAGCCTGGAAAGGTAAACTGGAGCCAAAGTGTTATTAACAAGTTTTAAAGGTCAAGCTGAGCTCCTATTCTATTCTAGGAATAACAGTGAATCGCAGAAGCTTTTCAAGAAGAGTGAACTCTACCTTAGCAGAATGGCTTTGACACCTGTACAGAGGATGGCAGGCAAAGAGGTATGCAGAGAAAGAGGGCAAATAGCACTGTCCTAAGCTAACATAAGAACGCTCAGTTTTGCGTACTCATCACCCTACAAACTCTCTAATATTTCAATACTTCAAGGAATTTCAGGGTTGAAGGGACTTCATTTGTCATCTAGTCCTGCATATATTTGAATCTGCTCTACAACATACATAGGCAACTGGCAAGCATGAAGCATTTATTAATGTCTGTCAATTTATTACTTAATAATTCAGAATTTAATAATTTATTAATGCCTGTCAATCACCATTCCCCAGCTAAGTGTTAGGGATAGAAATACAAGCAAAAAGAAAGAGAATCCTTGCCCCCAAGGAGTTTACATTCTAATGGAAGAAGACTTAGGATAATGGACTTAAGAGCTAGTAAGGAGTTTAGAGACCTTCACTTTACAAATGAGCAAACAGGCTTAGATGGATTAAGTGACTTTCTCACAGTCACACAGCTAGTAAGAGTTTTGATTTGAACTTGAGTTTTCCTGATTTCAAGTCCAGCACTACCACTGAATCACACTACCTCTTAAATACTGGGTGTCCCAAAAAATTATCTCATTTGATCCTCATAACAACCCTCAGATGTAGGTACGGCAAGGATTATTTTACCCATTTTACAGATGGCAAAGCTAAGGCCCAAAAAGATGAAGTTACTTTACTAGGGTCTCAAAGCTAGGCAATTGCAGAGCTCCATTCAGTTGAGCTAGGAAAACTAATTAAGTACAATAGAAACAATATGTAGCCAGGAAATGCTGAGTATTGATTCCTAGTCCATAAACCCTGATACTCTGACTCAGCCTAGACTGCTTCTCTTATACCCAAGTCAGGAATTTCCATCCCCAGTTCTAGGCTTTCACCCTCTATGTAATTTCAGTTTAACAAACAGCTAGGTAGTGCAATGAATAGAGCACTGAAACTGGAGTCAAGAAGACCTAAGTTTGAATCCCACCTCAAACACTCACTAGCTATGAACCTGGGCAAGTCGTTTAGCCTCTCTGCTTCAGTTTCTTCATCTGTAAAATGGGCATAACACCTACCTTGCAAGATTGTTGTGAGGATCAAATGAAATAATGTTTGTAAAGCACTTTGCTAACTTTAAAATGATCTATAAACGCTAGTTATTATTATTAAGCACTTTCTGTATGCTGGAGTAGTTGATGACAGGATATATGCCCCCACTGACTTCAAAGTCTAATGGAGGATAAACTCAAATACAAGTAACTCTAATATATATTGTATGAAAATTGCACCAGAGAGTTGAAAAGAACTAAAGTGCTAAAATTGAGATTCAGAAAGGCTGTATGAAAAAGACTTCTATGAAGTGAGCAGAACCAAGAGAATAATTTATACAATAACAATTATCACAATAATATCATAAAAGACCAACAACTTTAAAACACTTTAGAACCCTAATCCATGCACTGAAAAACCACTAGTCAAGTGGACTAAAGATGAAATATACCATGTGCGTTGGTAGGAGACAAGCCTTGCCTTCACCATGATAGAGCAAGAACTTCCTTCAATGGGGACTCAGGCACTGGACTCAAGAGTCCTACTCCTAAAGCCCAGGTAAGCAGTTCACGAGCTAAAGGGAAGGACCAGAGAGCCAGTTTGGGTCTATTACATAGCTAAGTGGTTTGTTGGGATACTGACAGGAAAGCATGATTCTAAGAGTCAGGACGCTTTATTAGTCGTGCATTGATACTTAACACTAACAGAGGCTGGAGGTGAACATGAATAAAGACCAGAGGCCAATGGCACAAAGTAATTACGTAGTCAAAAGACTCGCTATGATTGTTCCAAGGACTAGGGATTTGATTAGGATTTTTATAAGGTTCTTAAGGGCATTCCCCCCTGACCATCTGGATTGTGATGGGGCTTCTGTCCAGTTGCAGGATAAATGAAGAACAATCCAGTGTTCTAAACTTGGGCCATTTTGATGGTGATGGCCTTATGCCAAGGAGCACAGTAGGGGACAGTGTTGCTTATCAGGATACACAGGGAAAGCCAAGGCACGGGAGTTGAGCAAACCATCTAGGAAATTTCCACGGTAAATTAAAACGCACACAAGTCAAAGTTACCAGATGGACCCTAGGTTATGAAATGGGAGTCTGTGGACCATCAAAGGATCCTACATCATTACCTACTCCTTATAAAGAGGTAATGGCCTCAAGATGCAGAATGAGACAAAACATTTTTAGATGTTTGTTGGAATTTGTTTTGCTTGACTACACATTTTTGTTACAAGGGTTTTGTTTTTTTCTTTTCTTTTCACTGGGGGGTGAGAGGGGTGTTGCAGTCTTTAAGATTGTATTCCAGTAAAAGTCCAAAGAGATTCGGGATTCCCATAAAATGAAAACTTGACACACCAGATTGATGCTTCAGCAAGTAGTTATTGACAGAATGCGGTCAAGGGAGGAGATAGGGGACTTGGAACTGGAGTCTGCAGAAGAGAGCTCAAGGAAATAAGTGATGAAAACAGAAATAGCCACTGTTATGTGATCATATTCAAGGGAGAGGGGTGAAGTCATGTGTGATGCCAAGCTATCCGCCTCCCTGGGGATGACCATGATTTCCCAGAAGTCTCGTGACAAGTCCCAGAAGTTCAGGCTGCAAGATGGCTAAGCCCCCTACAAGAGCGTGTTTTCAGTAGAGCTAAGAATATCTAAGCCCCTCTCAAGGAGTAGCTACAAACATGCCAAGAATATTCCATTACACAATAGAAGGTGGATTTACCAGAACTAGGGAAAGGGTGCATGTGGATGGCAGGGACACATAATCACACAAATTGTCAAGAGGTTCAAGGTCTCTGAAAACAATAACATAATATAGGAACTGATCTTGCTGTGAAAAGTGTGGTGTGGCCGTGTCAGAAGGCACTGAAGACAGACACCAGGGACGAGTAGCTTAACATGGTCAAGAGTCAGGGCCTTCTAATAATTTTATATTACAGTTTAGGTGAGTGGAAGGGAAAGAAAATAAATGTTGAAAAAACTGTGGTAATCAGGGAAATTTTTTGAAAGAGATGGTGTTTTTAACTTTTAAAAGAGTCACTGTGTTTTGGTGTTTATAGAGCATTAGTTCAAAACTTTTCCCATCCACGAACTCCCAAAGCTAAGCATTCATCCTACCTGTTCTTTGTTGTTGTTGTTCAATCATGTCCAACTCTATGTGACCCCATGGAGTAGGTTGCCATTTCTTTCTCCAGTGTGTCCCCATTTTACAGATGAAGAACTGAGGCAAATAGGGGTTAAGTGACTTGCCTAGGGTCACACAGCTAGGAAGTATCCAAATCCACATTTGAACTCAGGTCCTCTTGACTCCAAACCTGGTGCTCTATTTACTGCACCATTTAGCTGCCCTTACTTTTCAATAAACCAAAGTTCTCCAGGGCCCTGTTTCCTCACCTAACTGTATTTAATACCAGTTCTTACCTACTTCAAAGAATTGTAGTGAGAGTCACCAAGAGAAATGGAAGGTATGATCATTATCTCCTTAATCCTCACAACAACTGCAAGAGTTAGATAGAGAAGGGAATTTTATCTTCATCTCTATAGTTGAGAACAATGAGGTTCAGATCAGCCCCCAGGGATTAAATTATTATCTCTCTGCAAATAATTTGCATACCTTCATCAACAACCCTAATCTCTCTCCTGAGCTCCAGTTCCACATTGCTAACTGCCTACAGGACATCTCCAACCAACTGTTCCACAGGCATTTCAAATTCATCATGTCCATAGAAGAACTTCCTATCTTTTCCTGCAAGTTTTTCTTAACTTTTCTGTTTCTGTCAAGGGCAACATCATTCCTTAGAGTCACTGTGGCTTACAATCTCAGAGTTATGATCAACTCCTGCCTCACCCTTAGCCTCCACATTGTTGATTCTGCATACAAAACATCTCCTGCATCCATCTTCTCTCCATTCAGATAGCCAGTACCTTTGTTCTGGCCCTTATCGCCTCTTTCCTGGACTACTGCAATAGCCTCCTAATTGTTCTTCCTACCTTAAACCTCACCCCTCTCCAAGCCATTCTCCACAAAGCTACCAAAATGATTTTCCTAAAGCGAGGGTCTGAACATGCATGCCGTTCCTTGCTTACAAAGCCCCAGTAGTCTCATACCACCTCCAGGATACTATGTAAGCACAGTCAAGCCCCAGCCTACTTGTCCAGATTGACATCATTCCCCTTCACAGACCTTTCAGTCCAGCCATTGTTTCTTCCACACAATATTCCTGTCCCAAACGCCCAGAATGCCCTCCTTCCTCAACTCTTCCTCTCAGAATCCTGAGTTGCTCCAGTTGCTTATTGGATGTTTCAAAATATATCTTCCATGGAATCTCAAACTCAGCATATCCAAAACTAAATTCATTATCTTTCCCAAGAAGACCTTTCCCCATTTTGTCTTTGAGGTCACCATCATCCTTCTAGTGATCTCGGCTCAGAAACTTGCATTATAGTCCACTGCCAAATCCTGTCATTTCCATTTCTACAGTATCTCCCAGGGTCTGTGCCCCACCCCACCGCCCTGATTCATATCTACATCACCTCTTACCTGGACAACAGCAGCCACCTAATTGATCTTCCTACTGCAGACTGCTCCCCTCTGCAATCCATCCTCCACGCAGCTGCCTTCAAGATCTCCTTTGCTCAAAACACTCCGGCAAATCCCCATTGCCTCTAGGATTAAATATAAGTTCCTCTCTTTAGATTTTAAAACCCCTCACCACATAGCCCCAAACTGTATTTCTAAACTTAGCATATGATGCTCCCCTTCCCAAACCCTACAATCCACTGAAACTGCCCTTCCTACTGTTCCTCACCCAAGACCCTTAATCTCCCAACTCCATGCCTTTGCATTAACAGTCCCCCTATGCCTTGGGATGCTCTCCTACCTTACCTCTATGACTTTTAAAATGCCTTGTTTCCTTTAAAACTGCTCAAGTGACACCTTTTATATGAATGTTTTCTCAATCCCTCACCCCGCTAAAGGAAAATTACCTTATGTTTATTATTTTGCATTTGGAGACTGGGTATGGCACAAACCCACCCATGTGGGCAGTGTCTGACTGGGAATGCACACACCATTAAACTTCTAGAGAACTCCTGTTCAGCTACAATTTGAACTGGGTGGATGGATGGATGGACAGCTCCTCTGATTAGTTGCCTTCATTGTTATTTGCCTTTCTTCCTCCACTAGGCCTCACCCCAGACCTTCAAAGCCCCACCCCATCTACCTTCCCACCCTACCCCCTCTCCAGTTCTTCTTCTTCTACTAGATAGGAGCCCCACCCCTCAAACTTTCCATTAAGTGGACTCTACCTCCTGCCTGGGTCCTTCAATGATTAGGGGGGATAGGGGCCTGGGGAAGGTGCTTCCAGAAACCTTTCCTTTCTATGCAGCTTGTTCTTGCCCTAACCAGCAAGAATTGGCCTAGGGGCACCTTGTCCTCAGCTAAAAGGAAAGAATAGTACCCTGTGTCTGGCTCCACCGAGATTCCACTCTGCGGTTCCTGCTCTCCCTCCTTGCCTCCAGAGGGAAGGAACAGGAGACATGTAAAAACCTAAAGCTGACAGCCCCCTTTCTTGCTGAAGCCCCAGAGCACTCTCAAGTATCAGGATGGATATGACCTGAAGCTCTGGCCTACCTCTCCAGGCTTATATTGCATATTAATTAGCTCTCAGGCTCCATGACCTAGCTGGCCTCCTTGTTATTCCCCACCTCCCCAAATATGACATTCCATCTGCTTCCACACTTTTGCACTGGCTGTCCCCCTAGACTGAATTGCCCTCCATTATTTTTGTCTGATAGAATCCTTAGATCCCTTTAGGCCCCCATTAAATGCCATCTCCTATATGATGCTTATCTCTATCCCCTCCCCCAGGTGCTGGTATAAGCACAAGGGAGGGTTAAAATGCAACAGCCTAGGTTTTAGGGAGGTTGAATTGTAACACAGCATGGTCTTAGGGCATCACCTTCTGAAATTCTTTAGTTCTTGCTAAGAATAGATGCACATACAGGAACCAAATCTAAACAAATTATTCTGCCAGTGCTATACCAACAGCATCCATGCACTTAAGTCATGATAATCTTACCAAAGTCTCTTATAGGCTACCTACATGCATTATAATCTGGATGCTCCTATTTTCCTCTTTTCAATAAAGTCTCTATTACTTTGAGGATTGTCTCCACATAGGTTAATTTCAGCCTAATAATTGTGCCCACATGCAAATTAATTTATCTGTGGTCATACTGCACCCTCCTCCAATAGTATGTATGCTTCAGGAGTGGTGGCTGGGGGGAGGGCGGGGATGATGTCAAAATCTCAACTGCCTTGGCCTACTTTCCACCCACCTCAGCCACATACATCTTGGATATCTCATTTCCCACCTGACTGCACTCATTTTGGACTTCTTTATTTCTCAGACCCCATCAGTACCTTCTCTCCTTCTGATTGGAGAGTGGAGTCATAAACTCCTTCATTTAAGGAGAGGGGACAGGATAAACATGTAAAGATAATTTTCAACATTTGTTTTTGTAAGATTTTGAGTTCCAAATTTTTCTCCCTCCTTCCCTTCCCTCCCTCCTCCCCAAAACAATATTTCCACATTAGTCATGTTGTGAAAGAATCAGCACAAAAGGGAAAAACCATGAGAAAAAAAAAACAACAACAAAAAAGGTGAAAATAGTATGCTTTGATCTTCATTCTAGTCTTGATATTGCTGATGGAATAGTCTTGATAGCTTGATGGTGTTCCGAAGATATCCCTCCTCCTCCTCCTCCTTTCATAGCAATTTTCTCTGACCATGACAAGAGAACTGAAAATGTTCTATGAGGAATCTGATTGTGACAATTACCACATGGAGGAAAAAATAGCTTGCTGGAATGGTAAAATGAGGGCTTTTTAAGGATGGAGAATCCTGCATTTTTGTGAGGCTGCTGGAAAAGAATCAGTGGATAGGGAGAGCGAATATTAGACATTGGTGGTGACTGGGGGGTGGGGAGTGGGAGGGGGCAGTCTGCCAGAGGAGACAGGAGAGAGTGGGATCAAGGGTATACACAGAGGAAAATGTAATTGCTTTTAGAATTGAGAAAGCTGAAAGGGACTTCTTTGAGTTCTGTACCATGCCTCCACACCCCCTTTCAACTTTCTTTTGTATGTTATCTTCCCCCATTAGACTGTAAGCTCCTTGAGGATAGGAGCTCTTTAAAAAAAAAAATCTCCTGCACTTAGCACAGTGCCTCGCACATAGTAAGTACTTCATAGTAGGTTCACTGACTGTGATGGTCTCACCCTTGATGACCCATTTCCATGATCAAGAATTCTAAAATTCTTCCACACCACCTTAACCTGGCATTCTGTCTTCCCCTATGTCTCCCTCCTCCTAAACCAAATTGTATCTGCATTATGATTTCTATTCCTTCCATCCCTCAGTATTCACTCATGCTCCAATTTCACTTTTCTTCTCTCCTAATCACATGCTAGTTAACCATCCATGGATTATTCTATCCATATCCTCTGCTCCCACCCATATGCTTTTTACTAGAGCTAGGGTGCGGGGGGGGGGGGGATCACATACCTGTGCAGATTGGGTCTACTACAAATTCATTATCTACTCTTATTTGGTCCTTCACCCCAGCAAGACAATCCTTTCACTTTCCCCTAATTGATTCTATCACATTCCCAACCACAATTCAAACTTACCTACCTCCACCTCTTATGCTACTTTACTGGGAAAATACAGGTCATTTTCCTTCATCTCCCTCTTCTCAAACTATAAAGCAACAATAATTTATTAAGACCTATTATGTGAATACAAATACAAAGAATGAAATATTCTCAATTCTAAAAGCAATTACATTTTCCTCCAGTCTACATCTCAAAGCCCCTTGAACATCCTCTTCTATTACTCCAGTCTCTGATGAAGAGATGATCATTCTCTGTATATACCCTTGATCCCACCCTCTCCTGTCTCCTCTGGCAGACTGCCCCCTCCCACCCCCCACACCCCAGTCACCACCAATGTCTAATATTCGCTCTCCCTATCCACTGATTCTTTTCCAGCAGCCTCACAAAAACGCAGGATTCCCCATCCTTAAAAAGCCCTCATTTTACCATTCCAAGCAAGCTATTTTTCCCTCCATGTGGTAATTGTCACAATCAGATTCCTCATAAAACATTTTCAGTTCTCTTGTCATGGTCAGAGAAAATTGCTATGAAAGGAGGAGGAGGAGGAGGAGGGATATCTTCGGAACACCATCAAGCTATCAAGACTATTCCATCAACAATATCAAGACTAGAATGAAGTCAAAGCATACTATTTTCACCTTTTTTGTTTTTGTTTTTTTCTCACAGTTTTTTTTTCTTTTGTGCTGATTCTTTCACAACATGACTAATGTGGAAATATTGTCTTGGGGAGGAGGGAGGGAAGGGAAGGAGGGAGAAAAATTTGGAACTCAAAATCTTACAAAAACAAATATTGAAAACTATCTTTACATGTAATTGGAAAAAATAAAATACTATTAAGGGGAGGGAAAAATACAATATCAAGATTATTCCATTAGGCCTAAACCTGAAGGCACAGACTGAACTAGCATGGGTATAATAGGGCAAAACTCCATCAGCTCTGATTTCAAGTAAAAGTCAAATTCCTTTCCGAATAGGCAGTCACAGAGCAGAGAGTCACATTACTGAACCTGTATCACAGACAGGCTCATAACAGGTTGGAAACTGAGTCAAGAAGATGCTGTTACCTTTTAAGGCTGTCTTTGTATGACTAACATCCGGAGGCGAGACTCCCTAGGGAGCAGCTCTTCACAGTTTTCCTTGAATGGTGGAGTACTGGCTTAACAATAATTCAGGGGAGCACCTAGGTGGCGCCTGGTCCTGGAGTCAGGAGGATCTGAGTTCAAATCCATCCTCAGACACTTGATACTAACTGTAACCCTGGGCAAATCACTTAACCCCAACTGCACCACAAAATAATAATAATAATGATAATAATAATAATAATAATAATAATAATAATTCCAAAAGTTCTATCTGTATTTAGTCCTCAAAGCAAATCATGGTCCCAAGAAGTTGCACCTCATATACCAAGTTCCACAACTTACAACTTAGAGCAGGGTACAGTTGTTTTTCGTGTTAACAACATCTGTTCATAATAAATAACAATTATTAAAAGCATTTTTTCTTAATATTTATTAAGCACATGAAGACTTTCCAAAAGCTTTCATTTCTAGGTGAAACCATGAATAGAGAGCAGGGCCTCGGGTCAGGAAGACCTAGGTTCTAATCCAGCCTGAGACACTTATTAGCTGTCTAACCTTGGGCAAGTCACTTAAACCTCCCTTTGCTCAGTTTCCTCATCTGTAAAATGGGGATGATAATAATAGCAACTACCTCCCAGGGCTGTTGTGAGGATTAAATGAGATAATAATTATAAAGTGCTTAGCTTACTGCCATAGCAAGTACTATGTAAACATATCATTAGTTTAACACACCCTGAATGAAAAAACCAATCATTAGAAATTAAGAAAATAATTACATTCTCAAGTTTAATCCATACAATGAATGCGTGATAGTTTACTCAAAACTCAGAAAGTTAATTTGCCTGGGTATCTTAATGTACTACACATCAACCCCGAGGGCAAAAAAGAAAACTACTTTAAACTGGTGT